TTATATAAAATCAAATGATATATGCATTGCGACACTAACAGCTTCATCATTTTATTTATAACATTTGAACATAAAATTAATATATTATTTTATAAATAATTTTGTTTCATTAATATTACGATATACATGATATGGTTGTCATTAATAAAACCACTACCAAAGTTACCATTTTGCCCTTATAGAGATTATAAATATTTTTTTTAATTTCCTAATATAACCTAAATTAATCTTGACCATTGATCAAGAAAATGGATGGATGAGATTGGTTTACATGGTTTACACAAATGAAGGCGGTTTTCATTTGATCACTCATTTCTCTCTCTCTCTCTCTCTCTCTCTCTCTCTCTCTCTATATATATATATATATATATATGAGCCTTCAAATAAAAACCAACCAATTGTACAAACCGTGAAAATCTCATTCAACCAATCATAATTTTTCATTTTGTTCATTTTTTGTAATTATGAGAGGTTGATTAACCATTTTTATTGTGAAGGGTGTTAATCATAGATATTATCATCTTCATTATTTTAATTTTAGAGAAATACATGAAACAGTTTCATTAAAATTTCATTAAATATTATATGAAACAATTTCATAACCATATATGAAACAAATTCATCAAAAAAATTATTATATGTAACAATTTCACAAGATTAAACAATTTCATGAAAAAATTTCATAAGATTAAACAATGAAATCAACGTATGGGGGTGGTTTGTATGGTTTGTAAAAATGAGGGTGGTTTTTATTTGATCGTTCATCTCTCTCTCTCTCTCTCTCTATATATATATATATATATATACATATATATATATATATATAGGGTTGGGTTCATGTGAGACCAATGGTTTTTCTTGAGACCCGTAAGACCAATTTATGTTCATTGATCAACTTTATAATCTAATGGTCTAAAGTTGCACGGTGACAATTTTGTGATGATTGAGAAGTTTCGTGACAATAATATGTTTAAATTATAGATCTAATCAAAGGGTTGAAAATTGGTCTTACGGGTCTCACGAAATACTCCTGGTCTATTATATGAAACAATTTCACAAGATTAACAATTTCATGAAAAAATTTCATAAGATTAACGACAGATGAGAGTAGTTTTTATGGTTTTTACAAATTGGAGTGGTTTTCATTTGGTCGCTCCTATATATATATATATAGGGGTCCATTCAAAGGAGAACTGATTAGTTGTGGTAACTGTGAGATCCAATCTCAACCACAAATCAACGGATAAATTAGAAAATTAATAATTATCATAGTTTGAGTTAAAATTAGGGAAAATTGCACCAAAATGGAACCAACTTTCACATGATTCCTATTTTGGGGAACGAACTTTCAAAATCGTCATTTTGGGGAACCAACTTTCACCTGATTCCTATTTTGGGGAACGAACTTTCAAAATCGTCATTTTGGGGAACCAACTTTTACCTGATTCCTATTTTGGGGAACCAACTTTCAAAATCGTCATTTTGGGGAACCAACTTTTACCTGATTCCTATTTTGGGGAACCAACTTTCAAAATCGTCATTTTAGGGAACCAACTTGCACCTAATTCCTATTTTGGGGAACCAACTTGAAAAATAATTATAGAAAAATGGGAAAATTACACCAAAATGTAACCAACTTTCACCTGATTCCTATTTTGGGGAACCAACTTTTAAAATCGTCATTTAGGGGTCTCTATCGAAGTTTTTGTTTATTTAAGGGTCTGATTGATCTGTTGAACAAGTAACAGATAATTTAAGGGTCTCTATCAAA